TTGCTGCTTTAGGACTGACATTTTAATACTCTGTGCTACCGTGGCAAGTACAAGTCGCCCTTAGCCAAGTGGATCTGCCAGGGTACACACGGGGCTGATACCTCAGCACAGTCTCTGCATGTGTTCTTCCTTTCCTGGATCCTTACGCAATGTCCTCTTCTGGCCCCCATTCCGGGTTTTAATCTCTCCCTCCAACTGAGTCATAACTGAACCTCCAGACTGTTGATCTCATCTCTTCTAGATAGCATGGAAAATGTTACAGACATCCACAAAACAGTAATTGATGAGTTCATTTTTCAATAATATAAGATGTTTCCTCCTGAAAAGGCATCAAGAAGTGAATGAGAAGGTGCCCCTCGGAGCAGGAGAAATTATTTTCCATACCCATGTCTTGTACAGTGCTATGCAGGTAATATGCCGAAGAAGTGCTCAACGTTATGAAAGAAGCCAACTCAGTTAATCAGTTTGCAAAGAAATGAAGCACCCCTCACCAGAAGGTCTATAAATATGGTAAAGAAGCACCCGGGAAGTTGTGCAAATTTTTAAGTCGTAAAAGAACTTCAGCCTAGAACAACAATATGATAACCTTATACACCTCTTTGAATGGCCCAAACACCACATTTACAACACGAAGTGCCGTTTGTGGTTGCCGACCGTCTAGTGCACAGGAGGAGCTTTGTGATCTTTTTAAATGTGAAGAAATTTCAAATTAAAACTATGTGATACACTTACACACCTATTCGAAGGACCCAAGTCCAAAACGTTGACAGTGGAAGATGCTGATTGTGACATCAGACTTTCTAAGGTCCTTGAAGATGCCACTCGAAGGTGTGCTCTGGGAGAGTTCTCTACATTCAAGAGAGCAGAACCAGAGGGACTCTTCTTTTTAGCCCAGATGGTTGAGCACCCTTAAAAAACTGTATCTCACCTTGGATAGTGTGATCATTCCCATAAGCATGTAGCATAGCCTTCTACCTAATTCTGAGCATTAAGACTACGGTCACTGACAGTTTTTATGAGGAGGGAAAAATCTACGTAACTAACTCAGGTCCCAAGTGATCCAGGGGTATCTGGCTGCTGGGATAGAATAGTTTCCATAAGTTGCTGATTGGTAAAGTAGGATAACTATTAGAATACAGTTTGAAAGTTTATTATAAAACTATGCATACATTTATCATGTGATTCAGCAGTGACTTCCTGGGTATTTTATGCAATGGGGCTGAATACCTTGACCACACGGAAACCTGCACACACAAGTTTAGAGCACACAAGTTCACTCATAAATGCCCCAACGGAGCAGCCTCCAAAGTGTCCTGGAGTACAGGAGTCCGACAGTACACTGTGGTCCATCCAGACAGTGGAATAGTGGTTCGCAGTAACAGTACATGAGCTCTCCAAAGAAGAATGTGGTTGTGGGAAATGCAGGTGCATGCTATTCAGTAAAAGAGGCAATTTTAAAGTCTACACAGGAAATTGTCTCTATGACATGGCAGGGAAAGGCAAAACTATGGAACTTACCAGACAAACCACTGGTTGCCAGGGATTAGAGAGAAGTCAGAGATGAATAGTTGGGGTATAGAATACTTTCAAAGCAGTGAAATAAATTTGTGTGATTCTATAATGGTAAACATGTCACTGCGTATTTGTGAAAGCCCCCTAGTGTACCACGAAAAGAATGAACACAGACATAAACTGTACTCTTGGGTTATAAAGACGTGAAAATTCAGGTTCATCCATTGTACTCGATCTACCACGTTGGGGTGGGACATGGTTCTGAGGGAGGTTGGGTCTGTGTGGGAAACGATGCACACAGAACTCTCTGTATTTTCTGCTTATTTGCCCTGTGAAAGTAAAACATTTCCAATGGACATTCAAAAAAAAAAAAAGTTATGTATTCCTCAGATTTGCTCCTTGGCCTAGCATGTATGGGTCAAAGGGAAGGGGGAAAACTATAGGTTTTGACTCCATTCAGTTTCGGATTATCCCCCTGGTCCTCTCTTAAGCTTCTTTGAGTCCTGCCAGTGTCTGTGCTTGCCCTCTCTCTTGACTTGAGGATCTCACTTCCCGAACAGCCTACTCTTCCCTAGGAGACGATAGCAGAAAATGAAGGTGACGTGTTCTGGCCACCAGTGATCATGACCTCCCCTGAGTGACAACTGCAGCAAACAGGATGAAACCATCGGATGGAGATTTCCGCTGAGGCTCCTGACTCAGGATCCTACAACTGACTCATTACAGAGCGCAACTTTCTGCTCTCTGCAGATTTGGGGCCAGCAAAGGCAGACCAAGTCCCTCGCCTCTCTGATCCTCATGAGAACGATATGAGGGTGACCCTGAGAGTTACTGATGATCCCTCCATGCCTAACAACACGGATCTTTCTGCGGGGGCTGTCCCCAGAGAGGACTGATAGTCCTGCACTCCTTAGGGTGTTCACACTCTTCTGGTACACCTTAAGCATTGGCCCCTCTGTGGCTCTGAGTCTGCACAAGTCAGAACAAACTCTCCATCCTCCTGAGATCTCCAAAGTAGAAATGAGTTGGTGCTACATCTTCATCTTACTGTAAAATGTGAAATTTCTGCAGACGCCTGAAGAGAAAAGGAGGAGACCTTCAGGCTGACACTTTGCCTGGCAGGCCACTCCCCTATATGGAGGTGTCTTTTTCCCGGGTTGTGCTCCTTGGTTAAAGGCCAGGCTGGAAATTTCACTTTCTTAAAATACAGCTCATCAGTTTCTGTGTGGCAAATCTTACAGATTGTTCCCCGGAGTCACCTTCGGTGGTGATCGTATGACACAAGGCAGAGACCCACAAGACTGAGATGTTCTTCGTGGAAATGTCAGGGATCCGGACTTTCTAAGAGTCAGAAGTAGCCTCACCTACTTGTTTTTCCTTTCTCAAAGGACCGGCAGAAATTAAGCCCATGATCTTTTGAAATTATCGGGCTTTGTATGCATAGATAAATACCTTGTTACTAAACTTTTTTTTGCATTCTTTAATGCTGACCTTTCAATCACTTTCATACGTTTATTGTTCTGCTTATGGTTTATAATCCAGAAAACTGATCATAGAGTGTTGTTCTCTTTTTTATAAGGATATACCGTGTTATACAGTGCAAGTAAAGTGCTTTTCAGGAATTCCTGTATAGATCGAGATCGTATCTTAAATACTTCTAAACTACTCCCTCTACTTCATTCTGTCCCTTCCCAAACTCAACTCCCAATCTCCAAATCAGAGTCCTCCTTGTCATTACCTGGATTTTGTGGGGTAGTGTTAAGAAAGGTGAGTGAAGGGACAGAATATCAGCTTCAGGCTGGCGCATGGCACATCAAAGGCCTTACCCGAATGCATAATCACGGTCTTGTGCCAGGCCTATCACTTAGTGGCTGACTCCAATTGGGTCCATTACCATGCTGTATGAGGGGCAGGCTTTTCATCTCTGAAGTTAGTTTCATTAACTTGGGAAGAGGGATCACATGTGTTCAGTGTATATAAAATGCCTGAAATGTGTATGAAGCACTGATTCTAGTCACGATTTGACTTTGGAACCTGCTACAAATGGATCTAGTTTTGAATTCAGGACATTTCAGACATTATGGCACATTGGAGGACAAAAATGCCCTTATGTCGTCAAGTGCTGCTTAACAAGGAGAAGTTGGTAATTGTTCCCATTATGGCATAAGCCATTCCGCGTCAGAGGGAGGGAGATTTCCCCAGCAGATCCAAAACAGAGCTCATAATAGCTTGAGAACCTGCCGAGTTGGAGTATGCCTGTTATCCCAGCACTGGAGCACTTGGGGAGGTGGGATCACCATAAGTTAGAGGCCACCCTGTGCTGCACAGAGACGTGTTTGAAACAGAAAAAGCTTTTGAAGGACCCAAGCCTTCCTCCCCTCTCAGCTGCTGTTCAGTGTTAAGCCACTTCTGTTTTCATTCATTTCACAACCACAGATAATATATACTGTCACTCGCATGTGTCAGGGTGCCCTCAAGACAACTGAATGGCACACGTTCAGGATGCCCCAGGCCGGAGTAAAGTGGGCAGCACTGGGGCTTCGATCCATCCCGCACGCCTTGAAGCTCACTCCCTTCTTACCCCGAAACTCACTGCACATGACGTGGGTAGAGCACCTGCGTTTATGCACTGAGTCTGAGAGTGCTGGGACAGGGCACAGGACACTTCCCAGGTGGCTACTCTGGGTGTGAGGTCAGTATCTGCTAAAAGCCATTGTAAAGTCGAGGCTCAGAGTATCATTTCTCAGGCCCATCCACTTAGGCCTGGCCCCTGCTCCTGCCTGCACAGTCAAAAACCACACAGTTGACTTACCTCCCACTCAGGGACTCGCAGCGTCCTTGGACCCCGTCCTCCCCTTATCAGACAATTTACCCTGGATAACTCTCAGGTCAAACCAGCTTCCTCCTTTTTCTCTCCTCCTTTCAGTCTCCACATTGTGGACCAGTTTTTCTTACATGACACCTGCTTCAGGACTCAAGTGCAAGGTCAGTTACCACAACTCTACTGTGTATTTCTATCCACATAGCCTGGAATCTCCTGAGAGCAGGTGCTCCAGCGATGCTGGAGACTAGTTTGGTGAGTATAGGCATCTAATTCATTACAATTGAGCCCTCATTCTTTAATAAGACATACACAGAAACACAGTAATTTATTTTAGTAGTATAAATACAGAGGAAATATAAAAGAAAAATATCAACCATCTGAAACATTTTCTTATTAGTCTTTATTCCACTTACTTTTCTGCTGTTTTTTACATTCTAAAAGAAATGCTTATTCCAATTCTTGTAAGTTTTTACCAAGTAAGTAATCATGAACGGTTTCACCTTTTTTTTTCTTTACAAAACAAGAAAAGTTTTAAACTGAAGAACAAGTATGAGCAAAAACTTTCATAGGCTTCAATTATAATGTTAATTTTAGAAACATTTCTTATAATTTCTTAAATATAGCTCTATATAAATGAATACAGATAAATCTCCAAACTGCCCATGTGAAACAGGAACACAGAAGAATGTTCCACTGTGTTCCCTCTAGATGCGGCCACCCTTCACTGCCAGGAACACCGTGTACTTTCTTCAGTTACAAAGCTAAGAATCTTCTTCTTCGTCAACTTCAATAATGGTGGGAAGAATTTCTACCCCTGGAATAGAACATTTTTTCTTTGTGTCTTTACTGCTCTCACTGGGTATAATTATGGGATCAGCTTTCTCTTCTTCATCTTTTAAAGCCTCTTCATATTTGGACTGGAATGCAGTAGGTGTAATATCATTGATCTTGGCCCAAAACTCCAAGACTTTCATCTTGCTGGTCTCTGCATAGGCTCTGGGACCCCACAGGAATTCATACTGGGGAGGATCACTGTCAGGCACCTGGCGATACTCCAGATATTTCAGCTTCACTAGATCTATTGTGATGAGCTTTTTCGGCTCCCCAAAAAGGAAGTGTTTCTTCCCAGCATATATTCTCATCTTATTCAGAAATTTCCAGATCTCCTCCTCAGTGATGGAGTTGCCCTTCATGAAGATCACTCCAAGAAGATTCATTAGGAGACCGGTCTTGGGAAATCCCCTGCCACGTTTCAGCATCCCGTTGTAGGGGAGATTCATTTTGCTGACAAGAGAATAACAGTGCTTGGTGCAATCAACTTCCTTTAATTCCATGCCAAATACCACCTCTATGTTAAAAGCAGCTCTTACCAGGAGCTCTGGGAAGCATTTCTTGTACTTTCTCTTGACCATCTTCAACATATCATTTTTCTTAATAGGGTTTTGCATCTTGTGCATTTCAATGATGTAGTTCACCAATCTGCTGGCTGTTTTGGTTAGAGCATCTTTGGGAGACTGTATGGTGGAGGAGGGAGCCTTAGAAGAAAGATGCTTTTTCTTACATTTGCATTTGGTTCCTTCATTTGATCTTGGGTTTGACTTATCTATTGCTATAGCAGTAGAAACTGCTCTCTCAGAGCCCTCTAGAGGACTTGGTGACTGAGAAGCAGAATCTGTGCCAGGGGTAACCACCAAAGGAGAACAGGAAGACAGAAATATTTTCTTCTTTGTAGCAAGAGCCTGAGTTTCCTGGATGACATGGGTCTTCCCTTGATCTGGCCAGTGTTTCTTAGGAGCCGGAGCTTCCTGGAGGACCTGGGTCTTCACTTGATCTGGCCAGTGTTTCTTAGGAGCCAGAGCTTCCTGGAGGACTGGGGTGTACCTTTGCCCTTGGCAGTTTTTCTTATTAGCTGGCGCTTCCTGGAAGACCTCGGTCTTCTCTTGTCCTAGGCATTGTTTCTTTAGAGCAGGAGCTTCTTGGAGGACCAAGGTCTTCCTTTTGCCAACGCGGTGTTTCTTAGGAGCAGGAGCTTCCTGGACTGGGGTCTTCCCTTGGTCCAGACCCTGTTTCTTATGAGCTGGAGCTTCCTGGAGGACCTGGGTCTTCTCTTGATCTGGCCAGTGTTTCTTAGGAGCCAGAGCTTCCTGGAGGACCTGGGTCTTCGCTTGATCTGGCCAGTGTTTCTTAGAAGCTGGAGCTTTCTGGAGGACTGGGGTCTTCCTTTGCCCTTGGCAGTTTTTCTTATTAGCTGGTGCTTCCTGGAGAACATGGGTCTTCCCTTGTCCTAGGCATTGTTTCTTTAGAGCAGGAGCTTCCTGGAGGACCAAGGTCTTCCTTTTGCCAGGGCAGTGTTTCTTAGGAGCAGGAGCTTCCTGGACTGGGGTCTTCCCTTGGTCCAGGCCCTGTTTCTTAGGAGCAGGAGCTTCCTGGAGGACCCGGGTCTTCCCTTTCCCTCGGCACTTTTTCTTAGGAGCAGGAGCTTCCTGGAGTACCCGGGTCTTCCCTTGCCCTCGGCACTTTTTCTTAGGAGCAGGACCTTTCTGGAGGGCCTGGGTCTTCCCTTGCCCTTGGCACTTTTTCTTAGGAGCAGGAGCTTTCTGGAGGGCCTGAGTCTTCCCTTGCCCTCGGCACTTTTTCTTAGGAGCAGGACCTTTCTGGAGGGCCTGGGTCTTCCCTCGCCCTGGGCACTTTTTCTTAGGAGCAGGAGCTTTCTGGAGGGCCTGGGTCTTCCCTCGCCCTGGGCACTTTTTCTTAGGAGCAGGAGCTTCCTGGAGGACCCCGGTCTTCCCTTGTCCTGGGCACTTTTTCTTAGGAGCAGGACCTTTCTGGAGGGCCTGGGTCTTCCCTTGCCCTGGGCACTTTTTCTTTGGAGCAGGAGCTTCCTGGAGGACCCCGGTCTTCCCTTGCCCTCGGCACTTTTTCTTAGGAGCAGGACCTTTCTGGAGGGCCTGGGTCTTCCCTCGCCCTGGGCACTTTTTCTTAGGAGCAGGACCTTTCTGGAGGGCCTGGGTCTTCCCTTGCCCTCGGCACTTTTTCTTAGGAGCAGGACCTTTCTGGAGGGCCTGGGTCTTCCCTTGTCCTGGGCACTTTTTCTTAGGAGCAGGAGCTTCCTGCAGGACCTGGGTCTTCCTTTGGCCAGGGCATTTTTTGTTAGGAGCCTGAGCTTCCTGCATGAGCAGTGTATTCCCTTGGCCTGGGCAGTGTTTCTTAGGAGCGGGACACTTTCTCTTTTGTTTCTGAGGCATGGCAGATGTTCAAGAGAGCAGGAGTATCAGGCACCTGGGAGAGAAAGCGACAGAGCATAAGCACCTCTGACAGAAATATCTCCTTAGTTTAATGAAGAGACTTCTGGAGCTTTCCCTGTGACCACTGCTGTAGAAAGTCACACGGCAGTGATTAGCATCAACTTGTCTCTGAAAACCCAGCAGACATATAAATTGTCCCCTAAGCTACTAATGTCAGCCCTTCTCGTGTGCACTGATAGTGAGAGTAGAGGTGCCAGGTCTTGTTTGTGGAGTTCCCTTTCATCAGTGGGGTGTAAGTTATTCTCTGGTCACATTACAGTGCACAAAATGAAGGGCTAGCAAAACCTGGGCAGCTTCCCATGTACTTCTGTATGTTTGACACTTCCGAGCAAAGTTCTTCTTTCCTGAAACAACCTAGAGGTATTTAAAATTTACTGCAGTCTATCATCCTTGCCAGGGTGCCCTCAGTGTGTGAGCTCTCTGGCGGCTTCCTAGAGATGTTGACATCCAAAATCCTAACTCATGGTCCTTCCTGTGTGGGCAGATATCACCTGCTAGAACAGCCTATGCTGATTTGATGGCTTTCACCACATTAATGAATGCCATCAAAAACTATGGAATTCTAGTGCACATGACTCCCAGTGGTGGCTTCCTCTAGGGTACAAGTGGTGGCCAGCTCTTTATCCTCTCTTCCCTTTCTGACAGGAGAGTAGTTTCACTGTTCCTTATTAAGAATGATCAAGGAGGGCTTGGGATTTGGCTCCGTGGTTCTGCGACCTGCCTCACAAGCGCCAGCACCCAAGATTGATTCCCAGTACAAAAACAACAACAACAACAACAACAAACAAACAAACAACAACAAAAAAGAATTTTCAAGGAGACTTTTCAGTGGCCCGAGATACTCTTTCTGCATAGTTGGAGCAGACAGTTTGTTGAAGAATCCTGTGACTGACTGAGTGAAAGGGGGCACACAAACTAACACATTTTCATGGGACTCCTGGGGCCCAGCAAAGCACAAATAGGCATGGGAACCCCCGTTCTGGAGTTGCATTCTGTTACCACAGGGGATATCTCCCTAGACAAACCTTATTCCGCCAGCCTCAGACCAGAGCCCTCTACAAGAAAGGCAGCCCCCACATATCAATGTCCTTGCATGGAGCCTCACAGAAAGGACCATAGGAACATTGCTTTGTGTTGTCACCTCCTTAGGGAATGATCATCTCTTTAGTACTCAGGACCATGCACATGACTCCTATTAGGATACAAATGTCCTTTACCTGCCAAATATGAACTATTTATTATGAAATATTTATTCATACCAAGGCCTTCTCAGATCTGACATTTTGCACAAAATATTCAGTTTGTAAGCTTTGGTTGTATTGAATGGAGAATGTTACATTTAGTACAAAATCAGTGAGCTACCCTAAAGACCCATCCTGGGAGTTCACCCTCCGCCAGCAGCACACACAGCACACCACAGTACCTTAGACTCAGAGCTTCACCATGCCTGTGGAAGGAAGGAAGGGGACCATGCCCATATAACCTATGTCCAAGGTCTCCCTGGCCTAAAGGCAACACTCTCTAGGTCCTTACCTGTATTTTTAGTAGAGGGAATCCTCCCTTCTATGAGCACAGCCATCTAACCACCAAAGGAAAACTTCATCTACTTATTTCCCTGTAGAGATAATTTTGAAAAGATCCACATGGCACCGCATGCTGCTATGACAGCTGTCCACTGCCTATTTGGTACACAGTGTCCCATCAGCATACAGCAACCACCATTAGACTCAAATTGTCCAAGATCCATTTCTCCAAGACATGAACTCTACTCAAGTTGCAGCCCTTTCCTCCCTGAAACTGTCCTCATAGAGACCACCATGGGAGTCACACTGAACTGCAAGAGTGGAAAATATGGAGAGTATGTTGAAATAAAAAAATATTACAGCAAGACACATTTCCATTAATCCCCCATCAAATTATACTCCAGTGTTTTTAACATACTTATCCTATCCCTTTTGCCACTATCTGAAACAGTTCTGAAAATCTTGTTTCTTGTTATGACACACAATCAAGAATACATTGAATCTCATTAATCACTGCCATCTAGTGTGAAAGCAGAGGAGTGAAAACATTAAGCCCTGTCAGTATACACCTCCTTCACTACATCTGAGAAATTAAGGGGCTTCACATGAATCAAAATGACCAAATAATTGTTTTGAATCTTGCAGAACATCAAGCACCCATGGTAGAACAACTGAAGAGTGTCCTTTTAACAACTGGGTAAGTTTGTTCAATGCCAGTAGCACAATTTAAAGGAGATCCATGGAAACATGTCCTTTCCATAAGAATTTTTAAGTTATTATTTAAGTACACATTTTTCTAGCGTTGCTTATGTATATACTGGTGCTTTCATGTCTGGAATTCGTAAGATCTATGGCTATTGTGTGAAAAATCAAACTAACAAGATTTGCAGTTTCAAGTCTGAAAACTGCAGACCTGAACAGACAAGCTGGAAAATCAGGCTGGGTTCCAACATTATTCACTTCAGCCTGATCACTTCTGCTCAAAATCTAAGGTTATTCTTTTTGCTACCTACAACTAATTGCAAGAGGCTTCCTGTATCAACGAAGGGTAATGTGCTTCACTCAGAGTCTAGTGGTTTAATGGCAATCGAGGGATAACAACTCCTGATACACCACTGTACAACAGCTTCTCTGATGTTTAACCACATGACTGGGCAATGTAGTCTCAAGGGGACATTTGAAATAGTAATTTAGAAAAAGTAGCGATGATAGGGAGGTGTCTAGATTAGAAACCTGAGGTTGTCACTAAGTGGGGCAAGACATAGTGTAAGAAAAGATAGTAGGTTTGGGAAAAATAATAACTTTCTTGCTTTTCACCTTGAATTTGAAATAGCCTTTAATGAACTGTGCTTAAAGTGGCTTTAAAGTCTTACATGTTCATCAAGATGTGAAATAATGTGTTTTAATAACGATTCTAATGTAGAATCACGTAGTTTCTCCTTAGCACTGCAGGAGTAGAAGAAGCTATTCAGCTATAGTTTTAGAGAGGAAAAGCTAGGAACTTGAATATGGAAATGTGCAGAACATAAATGGGTTAATGGGTGAGAAGGAGAAATCTATCGAGGACATGGAGAAAAGAGTGTGATGCATATAAGACAAAAGTAGTGCCTTCAGAACTATGACAGAGATCATGCAATGCTCATCAATCTCAGCTAAATATTGCATGCTTGGCATATGGAAAACTCCGTATCTTTCAACCTTTGTACATAAACTGGAAGATATGATTAGTTACAGCCAATGAATTGGGAAGTGTGAGATACTAGAGCACCTGCCAACCTGAGTTTCACAGTGAAAATGTGCAGCAAACTCTTAAATCCGCTCCATCACTGGTACATACTGAACAGGTAATGTCATCCAGAAAATAAACCCTTTGTGTGTTAAGATACTAATATTTATAGAATAAATTGTTACGCTAGTGAAACACATAAATTCATGACTAATTATAAATCTACAGCAGTAGCTTGTTTAGCAAAGGAGTGCATAATCACAAGAGAGCCATATATACCACATGTCCAGAAAAAAGACATTACAGGAGATTCTCAGATGTGGAATAATTGAACCAACATTTCCACATATTTTAGAGATTTTCAGCTATGCCAGTTTGCTAGAGTTATGCATTATCATTCAGCACAAGGTAGGAAATGTGCTCATCAAATCAAGACAACAGAGTCAATTTTAACTGGAAATTGACATTGCAGCATACATAAGCAATGTAGTATATCTGTCTTATAGTTTTATTTAAAACACTGAAGTGAAGCCATAAATGTCAATTGCCTTAAGGCATTGAGAATTTCAAAAATCCACTGAAATTTACTTGTCTAGGAAATAATAGATTCTAGATACAAACTGCAAGTGCCCGCTCTGGAAATTCAGGTTTTCAAGTACTGTATTTGTCATTCTAGACTGTCTGCGATAACTATGCCCCATGCACTGTATAAAAATGACGAACTATGGGGGATTTATACACTAACTGTTTTGTGTTAACATGCCTTTTAGGTTATTGACTATAACTGAGAAGACAATACTTTAAACTGGGGAATTTGTGAAGGCAAAGATTTATTTTAGCTCACCACTGTTCCTCACATCTAGGGACCACATCTGCTTATTTCTTTCCTGCATTTAGGAGTCCTAAGGCAGCACAGAGCACTGCTTGGCCAGAGACCTGGAGCAGAAGTGTGTGTGTGTGTGTGTGTGTGTGTGTGTGTGTGTGTGTGTGTGTGTGGTGCACTCGTGTGTCCTCTGGCTTTGCTCTGTTTCTATAAATCTGCCAGAATGTAGTCATGGAGGTTCCATCCTGTTGATTTTTATCAAATCAAAATCTCCTACATCATTCTTCTCCTAAGATCTTGGAATGGAGATTAAGCCTTGACACGAGAACCAAAAAGGACCAATCAGTCAAACCATGACATTTGCTAATTTGAGAGAATCTGTGGCTTTATCTTTAAATTTCTACATTTTATTGGTGAAATAAAACATTATTTGACTACTCTTTGTAAATTATTTCTCATTTTTCTCATTCAGTGGTTTTCATAATATCTATAACTAGAATGTCCCATGGTTTTTAACATGTTTTTCCTAACATTTAAAAGTATATTTAAGAATGTATCATGATTTAATATAATGCTTTTGGTGTGTTTTATATTTTTGTTTAGTGTGTTAGTCTGGCTGTTAATCTGTGTTTATAATTAACTTGATAAAGATGTAAAAAAATAAATAAACTTGATGCTAAGAAAGCAAATATTTTAACTACTAATAATATTCTCTTCCCATGAAAAATAAGCAAGAACATGCAAAAACTGAGATATTAAAGTCTTGTAACCTCTGCAAGAAATTAATGCCTTTATTAATTAAACTCTACTACCTAAGCAACATCCCAAACTCATCAATTTAACATTTATGATCAGGATCTCTACACTGGCTGTGTTATCTCTGGTTCACATGGTGCACCAGTTCAATTCTGAAGACTACTTCGAATGTTTTCTAATGGTAGTGGCGAATATTCAAGTGTACCTTAACATAGAAGCATATTGCCAACTTTTGCTTCAGTCACCATTGAAAAAGCCATGATGCTGAGCCCAAAAGTTATAAGAGGGGAAGTATAACCTGCTTATGTTATGACTATGACAAGAACTGCGATATAGACAAGATGAACAGTTTGGATTAACAATTCAATCTGTCATTGTGTATTTCAATTACTAAAGAATCCCATCATTATCTTAGGCTAAATTTCCATCTGGAGAGTTGCCTGAAAAACTGTTACAGATATTTTATAAAAGCTCTTTTTACATAATGACAAGCTTTTCACTAGTCTTCAATATATTTATTTAAAAGTCTTTTATATTTTACATGCAAGAAATGATACTCATTTTTTTGTGTAGCTGAATTCTTCAAAATACTTTTGTTCATTAAAAATTTCTTCCTACTTTCCCTTCTTCCTTTATAAATTCATGCACATGAAGTAAAGTTTCCATTTCTTGGTGCTTTACAATTTTCAGAATTATTTGAATAATTACATCATAAAGATTTAGAGCCAGAGGGTGATTCCTCTATGTTGATAAGATTGATGAAGAAAGAATGAACTTGTCTACTGTATTATTATTCAAAAGTGCTGGATATGTCTTGATAATTATGAATGACACAGAAAACCTTACTGTCTTATTGTTCAATGGAAAAAAGTAGGCTACATTTTGAGGGACAAGTGAGCTCTAGGCCAGAAACTTCCAAGGAAAATAATGTGTGACCTCTACTTATAAACTATTTACTAGCCACATTTAAAAGGAGAAAAATGTGACAATAATTCTCACATATGTCTTAGTTTTGAGATATATTATATGCCTAATGTTTTTATGAAATATTTGAAATAATATACTCTATCCTTTTAATACATTTAAAATCAGAACAGCTGTACTTCAAGCGCTTAATAAGCATCTTACTTGTGGACTCAGTACTGGATGCCCTAAGGTCAATACCATATTCTGAACTCCTGAAGAAATCTCAATAAAAGGGAAAATGCATGTGTTAAAATTTTGTATTTTTACAGTTTATAGAGTATTAGAGAAGGCACAAAGTTGTACTGAATATAAATTTCATGAATGAACAATCCTTATTTGAAAAGTAATTTGTAAAGAACCATATAACATATATCTCCTTTCATATTATATCATATTATGTGGTATGCCATTGCTTAATAATTTTTAAAAATATTCAAGAAGAGCATGAAAAATTTTCAGGAGAGATTATATAAATTCCATTCCATTCTCCACATTTTAATAACTTGGTAATCTTGTAAGAAATCTTAGGGAAAGAAAGGACATACACCACTAAAATGCAAAATGATATATTTTCCTAATTGTATACTATAATATTAAACTTGTTTGCAACAGTATTAGTACATATGATATCACTGCACAAAGGAGTTTTGTAGGAACTTGGGTTGAGTTAATATATTTTATAATATTTTAATATTATATTAAGTGTTTGACTCTCTGCTGCACAAGATAAAATATGTAAAGAAAAGTGGCAGCATTAAAACAATACTAGACCTAATCTTTTTCTTCTGCTTCTCGGAAATGACAAACATTTCACAAACTGAAGAATGCACTGATTGGTGAGTTAATTCATTTGGACAGGAAATAATTAAGATGGGCCATTGAGCTTAGATTTGGCAAGGTTTTTTTTCCATATCCACACCAAGAGAGCCTTAAGTAACTGAGTTAATGACTGTTTCATATCCAGTCTCCAATCTAGTGAGGTTAGCCTTCCTGCTATTTGCCATCTGTTGCAATGGTTTAAATTGATACATTATGAAAATATGAAAACCAGGAGGAAAATATTACAGGAGATGAGACAACAAAGGGCCTGAATTGCTGAGATGATACAAAAATAAAAAAGAAGGGGTAGCTTACAGACAATAATTTTCAAGTGTGATAAACCTTTATGATATCATTATGTACTTTCTACCCATTCTTTTACTAAAGCATAAACTATTTCAGTATACGTGCTGTCAAAGCGAGCACAACTAAAGCATAAACTTCACAAAGTTGTAAAGTTTTAAAGTGTAACTTATCTCAAAATCTGAATCTAGAAGAACTGCTTCCGGTCCAGATGCAGCTCAACAAATCTAGAATAACTGCTTCCAGTCCAGATGCCAATCCACGATGTCAAATCTATCAGCCAGCTATTTGTTAAACTGAAAGCTCTAAAAGGTGTACCATCATTGGACTAGGTCTTGTTCCACATCAGAAAGAATAAGTTACAAAAACAGGTCAAATAACCAATAGAATGTGTTTTAAAATATTGGCAATCCAAGAAGGAATGACAGTGATACATAAAATAAAGGGGGAAAAGAAAAGTAAACCTATGCTCATCTGAAATTGAAAGAGAACTAAAAACTCTCATCTCCAAGATGTAAAAGAGCCCTCAAACAAAAGAAATGCAAAGAAAATAACAAAACATATTATAACCAGATTTCTGCAGTGAGGGCAAATCTTTTAGAGCTTTCAATTGTAACAAAAAGTTGGTTGTGGCGTACGTGCTATAGTTTCACTGCTACTGGAGAACTAAAGTCTCCAAAGAAATCAGCAGAATATGCAAATGAAAGAAATTTCAGAGGAACAAAGTTTAAAATGATAGTAGATTTCCTCTTTAAAAACAATACTGAACAAGAAGCCCATGTGGACCAGAGCAGCACAATTGCACAGATTCCAGCCAGGGCCCCACCCAGACACCAACAGCTTTGGGCTATAGGTCCCAGCCAAAGGCCAGTCTGGAAAACAGCTGTGCAGATATGCAGGCAACACTCCAGAGGCCTGTCCAGATACCATTAGGAAGTGCACACAGATGCCAAGGAGAAGCCTGCATGGACCAGACCAGCATGAGTACACAGACCCCAGCCAAACCTCCCAGACAACAGCTACGCAGGTGGCCAGGCCCCAGCCAGAGGCACACCCAGATACCATCCCAAGTGTGTGCAGCCCTATGCCAAAACCCCACCCAGACAACACTGCAGGGTAGGTATCCAGAAGGCCATCATTCTGAAACAAGGAATTGGAGCAGAAGGAAGGCCTCTCTGAGGCTTGCTGAGAATTGAAGCCCACTGGGAGAGGAAAAAGTTGCCCCAACAAAGGTGCAGCAGGCTGTATCTGTTGAAATGAGAGGACAAGTAAACAAGTCTCAAAACCAGACTTCCAGATCATCTAAGGTAACCCAAATGGGCAATAAGATGGAACAATCTGATACTCAAACACCTGGACTCCCTGAATTGGCAAAAAAAAGATATGGAAAAAATGAAATCAGAAATAATTTCTCAGATAACAACAGAGACTGTGTCCATAGTGAAAGACATGATTAGTAACTCTAGAGCAGACACAGATTAAAAAAAAATAGAAGAGCTAAGGAACATGATACAATCCCAGCATAGGAAACAAATAGAATCCATAAAGCAGATGCAAACAGATATCCAGGAGATCAAAAACTCCATTGAAAGTATACTCAGCAGAATGAGCCAATGTGAAGAGAGAACTTCAGATATACACCACAGGATTGCAATTAGTGACCAAAAAAAGAAAACTGATCCAAACCAGTAAGGCACCACAAGAGATCAAACCAACAGCTACTAGAGGGTGCAAAAAAGAATAATATAAGATTGATCAGGGTCAATGAAGAAACAGGAGAGAGTGTGAATGACATTTAAAAAAAAAAACAACAGTGGCCAGAGATTTAGCTCATTGGTTCTGCCACCTGCCTTGCAAGCACAAGGACCCAAGTTCGATCCCCAGTACCAAAACAAAAACAAAAACATTGGACAGAAGTTAACAACAGAAGAAAACTTCCCAAGCAGGGAAAAGAATTTGACATACATTTAAGTGAGGCATATAGGACTCCAACTAGCCATCATCAAAAATAAAATTTACACGTAGGCATATAATAGTCAAGATTCCAGAAACCCAACAGAAGAACAAAATACTACAAGCAATTAGAAAACAAGAAACAAATCACATACAAAAAAAGTCCATCAGAATCACAGTAGACTTTACAACACAAACCCTCAAGTCAAGAAGAGCCTGGAGTGAAGATTTTCAAAACTTAAAAGAAAACAACCTCCAACCCAGATTAATGTATCCTGCAAAACTACCTTTCAAAATTAATGTAGAAATAAGATATGTTCATGACAAAGAGCACCTGAGGAACTGCATGAATACCAAACCAGCACTCAAAAATATTTTAAACAATGTTCTAGGAAAAGACAATAATGGTCACAACCCCAGGAAGTGCAGAACAAGAATTCATCAGTGAAAACAAGAAATGAACTCTGAAGTGGAAGAATCCAATAAAAAGAATTAAAACTTACCAACTAAGAAAAGCCTGGGTCCTGATGGCTTCACAGCTGAATTCTACAAGACATACAGAGAAAAATTATTGCCACTACTGTTTAAAATTTTCAGGGAAATTGAAAGGGAAGCAATGCTCCCAAATTCATTCTTGGAAGCAAGCATCACTTTTATCCCATAAGTAGAGAAAGACCCAAAAAGACAATTATAGGCCAATCTCACTGAGGAACATAAATGCAAAAATCCTCAATAAGATAATAGCAAACAGAATGCAAAAGATTATTAAGAAGATCATACATTCTGACCCAGTGGGATTCATCCCAGGGATGCAGGGATGGTTCAACATACATATATCAATAAATGTAATACACAAAGACAAAAACAATATGATCATTTCAATAGATGCAGAAAAAGCGCTCTACAAAATCCAACACACATTCATAATAAAACCTTACAGAGGACCGGGGATTTAGCTCAGTGGCACTGTGTCTGCCTCACAAGTGCAAGGTCCTGAGTTCAATCCCTGGTACAAAAAAAAAATAAAAAAAAAAACTAACAAACAACAAAACAAAAAAAACCTTACAGAGAATTGGAATAGACTGTCTCTATCTCAACCTGATAAAAGCCATCTGTGTAAAACCAACAGCCAATATCATACTAAATGGTAAAAAATCGAAACTTCTTCATGCTAAAATTAGGAACAAGACAATGATGTGCACTATTACCACTCCTACTCAATAGTTCCGGAAACATTAGCCAGAGCAATCACACAAGCGCAATAAATTGAAGGAATACAGATAGGAAAGGAAGAAGTCAAAATATCATTATTTGTGAGTGACATGATTCTCTAAACAGAAGACACCAGGGCCAGGGCTTTAGCTCAGTGGTTCTGCAACATGCTTTGCAAGCTCAAGGTCCTGAGTTTGATCCCCAGTACATAAATAAATAAATAAATAAATAACACCAAATACACAACCAAAAGACTTCTAGACTTAATAACTAAATTCAGTAAAATAGCTGGATACAAGGTCAACACAAAATCAATAGCTTTCGTATACACAAACAACAGACTCATTGAGAGAGGAACTGGATAAACAACTTCTTTCACAATAGTAACCCAAAAATGAAATACCTAGGAATCAACCTAATGAAAGAAATCAAAGACCTCTACTCTGAAAATTATAGCAAGCTGAAAAAAGAGATCAAAAATAATTTCAGAAAATGGAACAACATCCTTTACTCCTGTGTAGGAAGAACCAATATAGTGAAAATGGCCATACTTCCAAAATTGCTATACAGATTCAATGCAATACCTATTGACATTTCAAAAGCACACTTCACAGACCTTGAGAAAACAATCCAAAAATTCCTTTTGGAACAAGAAGAGACCGAGAATAGCAAAAGCCATTGTAGGCAACAAAAACAAGGTAGTGGGTATCACAATCCCCAACTTGAAACTATGCTACAAAGCTACTGTGATAAATAGCATGGTACTGGCAAAGAAGTAGACCCAAGGATCAGTGGAACAGATTAGAAGAGGCAGAAACAACTCCAGACACACTCAGCCACCTTATCTTTGACAAAGGAGCCAAATATCCTTACCCTTACCGGAGAAAAGATAACCTCTTTAATAAATGCTGCTTGCAAAACTGGGTTTCAACTTACCAAAGATTAAAAGTAGACCTATATCCTCATCATGCACTAAACTAAAATCAGAATGGACTAAAGATCTAAATATTACAATGCAAACACTAAGGGCCAGGGATGTAGCTCAGTGGCAGAGTGCCTACCTGGCAAGTACAGGGTCTTGAGTTTGATCCCCAAAACCACACACACACACACACACAAACCTACAAGCACTAAACCATCTGGAACAGAGGTTAGGTAGAACTCTTGAAGACACTGCATAGGGAAAGATTTCTTGTACAAAACCTCAGTTGCAAGTGAACTAGCACAAGCAATCAACAAGTGGGATCTCTTCTTATTAAAAAGCTTCTACACAGCAAGAAAAAACATTAACAACATTTAGAGTACCCACAATGTGGGAAAAATTTTTTACCAGCTGTTCCTCAAAGGTCTACTATCTAGAATATATAAAAATTTAAACAAATTAGAAATCCAAATTTTAAAGACCCAACCCAAAAGATGGGCATTGATATGAACAGACATTTATCAAAGAAGTAGAAATAGCAAATAAACATATGAAAAAATGTTCAACATCACTAGTCATTCAAGAGATGAAAATAAAAACAATGCTGAGATTTCACCTCACCCCAGAAAGAATGGCTGCTATCATGAAATCAACCAATAACAAATGCTGGCAGGGCTGTGGGGAGAAAGGAACCCTTTTCCACTACTGGTGGGAGTGCAGACCTGTGCAACCACTGTGGAAATCAGTATGGAGATACCTCAAAAAAACTAAGACTAGAGGTCCCATTTGACCTAGCTATTCCCCTACGAAATCATACTACAACGATATAAGATAACCCATGTTTATAGTTGGTACAGTTTGTAATAGCTAAAATTTGGAAACAGCCCAACTGCCATCAACTGGGGCCTCGATAGAGAAGATGTGTTTTATTTTTCTAAAATGGAGTACTACTTAGCCATAATGAATGAGAAACTAGAGACATTTATAGTTAAATAGATGCACAATAAGGCCATAATCAAGTGAAATAAATAGGACACATATGAGTAAATACTGAATAGTTTTGCTGGTGTGAGAAAGTGAAAGTATACTAAAGATCAAATTGTATAATAGATGATGTGAAATAGGAAAACAAGGTCCAAAGGGGAAAGGGAAGGGGGAGAAGTAGGGGAAAGGAATAAACATGAGAAAAGGAAAAAGTAAAAACAAAGTATTTGTAAATAGAGTGGTAGAGGGGTTGAAGAGAGGACAGGGGAATAGGGCAAAATGTAAGAACCAAGATATATTATGTAAAGGTACAAATTCCCAATAATAAATGTCAACATACTGTATACCTAAAATGTGCAAATAAAATTAATGAATGAAAAAAATACAAAGGATGAAAAAATACAAAGTAGATCATATTAATACCTCAAATTATTGAAAGAAATAAAAAGCTTAATCTAAAATTCATCATCCAGTATGTCTACAAAAACAAAGGTTGTTTAATACAAAATATAAATATAATATAAAATATAAAACCGAAAAGGATTCACCACAGAGATTTAACACAGCAGATGTTTTAGAGGTGTGAGCAACTTAGGAGTCTGAGACAGGAGGGTTGTGTGCTCAAAGCCAGCCTGGCTAACTTAGCAACAATAACAACAACAACAACAAGAAAAATCGGCCTGGGCTCTGGCTTAAATTCTCAAACGTTCAAGTAACAAAACAAAATAAATACACACACACAGGAGAGAGACAGAGAGGTAGAGAGGAAGAGAGGGAGAGGGAGGGAGCGAGGGAGACAGGGGGTGGAGGAGAAGGCCAAGCTGACAGCCTTCCCTGTGCTTTCTAGGGCCAAAAGTGTCCTGGGCATGGTGACTGCCTCAGCGTGCCAGCGTGACCAGGCCTCACAACAGTGGTGTTGTTCAAATATGCTCTCCTTCAAGTATGCTCCCCTCATCACTGAGTATCTTGCTGTATCCCGGGTACTCGCGTTTAATTAGGCCTGGTCTAGTACAGGACAGGGACGTCCTCTTCCTGAGTCCAGCCTAGGTGGTAAAGAGAGATCATCTCAGTCTCTACCATGATCCTCCTATTATTAACAAAGGACGGGGGACTCAGGTATAGACCTGAATTCCTTTGGACAACTGCAATTTCTAGTTCAGTCTGACCAACTTAGAGAAGCAGGGAGACCTTGTGTTAAAATACACAATAAATGTGCTGAGAATTAAATCCTGGGCAAAGTCCTTTATTCAATCCCCACTGTGGTAGAAAAAAGAAACAATAAGAAAAATAAAAAGGGCCAGGGATTTAGCTCAGCGGTTCGGTGGCCTGCCTTGCAAGCGCAAGGACCCGAGTTGTTCAGTCTGACCAACTTAGAGAAGCAGGGAGACCTTGTGTTAAAATACACAATAAATGTGCTGAGAATTAAATCCTGGGCAAAGTCCTTTATTCAATCCCCACTGTGGTAGAAAAAAGAAACAATAAGAAAAATAAAAAGGGCCAGGGATTTAGCTCAGCGGTTCGGTGGCCTGCCTTGCAAGCGCAAGGACCCGAGTTCAATCCCCCCACAAAATCAGGTTGCTTCATAGGAGCAAGACCCGCTCTTTCCCGGAGCCTTTCTAGAAAAATCTCCATCCCATAACTCTATCTCGGCAAAAGCGCCTGCTGGATGGGCGGCCAGCGCCCCCCTCCCACCGCCGGGGTGGCCAACTCCACTCATTTCTTTCGGGTTTAAACATAGTTTTGGCACTGAGCTTCATCCACAGCACTTTTTATTTTGTATTTCGAAACAGAGCCTTTCTGAGTCCGTAAGTTTCCCGGCCTGACTTCGAAATAGTCACCCTCCTGCCTCTGTCTCTGATTTCCAGGGATTAACGGATTACACGTGAACTACGCCAAACCCAGCCTGCAGCCTCTCCACTGAGGGAAGGAAGCATACCTTTAGTTTGCATTTAGGAACCCTACTTTTACCCCCGACCAACCCTAGGAATTCACCTTGAGCTGCAGAAAGCCGGACACCTCGAGGCTCGACGCTCCCCACACAGAATGTTCATGCAGTTTCTGACGGAAGTGGCGAAGGTGCACATCCGGCCACACGCCCACAGGGTCACCAGAGCTTTTATCATGGATGAGTCCTTAAAGGGACCGCACTGCTCTGAAATTAGCCAGTACTCTGTATATGCAGCAGTGTCTTTGACTCCTCTTCTGAGTCACACGGCTTCCAATCTAACCACGCATAACTGCGCATTTCCCTTGGTCACCGAGGAAGAAATTTCTTTATACCCACAGGCTCCCCCTACCAAAACATCACAAGACTCAGACCAGGACAGGATTTCATGAGCCTCCATATTTGAGCACAGGTCAGCTCAGCAAGAAGGCAGGGCCTTCACACTGACCCTGGTTTTAATCAAAGCCCTT